GGCTGACTTATCAACTGTAGGTATACTGTATCTATTTATAGCTTTTGCATGCGCCGTGCCTGTGTGCGTACGATATTGTACATATCCGAGTACCGTGTGGTGTAGCCATGTTATGTAGCTGATAGTACACGTCGTATGGCTGACTTTTATCTCCATCGCCTCCGCTCCCTATTCTGATTATGTTCAATGGTATACTACATTGCAGGCGTTGTGTGTGAATCTCATTTATTGTCTACCTCCATTGCATGTCCCACAGTAAAACTGAACCTCATTTTATATCTACCCACATTATGTGTACCCACAGTAAAGGCGGTGGCAAGTCATCCAATATGGGACGTGTGCGTGCGGATATAAAATTAGAAGAACGTTGTGAAGTATTAATAGAACTCAATGAAGTGCTCACAGAGAGCTTGGGAGTCATGAATAGGTGCCCTTTCAAAATACGCTACTGTCTGTTGGGTAAGTAGGTGTCACGTATTTGTTACAGATGTTACATTTACGCGCGCGCGCGCGTGTGTGTGTGAGTGTGTGTTTGTGTATGTATGTGTGTGTGTGTGTATGTGTATGTGTATGTGTGCGTGTGTGTATGCATATATATGTATGTGTGCGTGTATGTGAGTGTGTGAGTGAGTGTGTTTTGTGCGTATATCTTGAGCATTATGTGCCATCAAACCCATCATCTCTGATATCCAACCTTCGGCTAATGTAATTGGCTGAGCGTTTAAGTATGCATCGCTTCGGGTAATGTAATTGGCTGGGTGTTTAAGTATGCATCACTTCAGCTAATGCAATTGGCTGGGTGTTTAAGTATGCATCGGGTAGTGCTGTGGCACATGCTGTATGTCAACCATGAGCTTCCCTTTGCCTCCGCACGTGTATTTCATTTGCTTGCTGTCCATACGATATCAATATACGTGACGGTTTTCTTCAGTATTTTACGGAAGTAATTGGCATCGTCTGTATATTATATGCTATTCAGCGCAACATACAACCACCACCACATACAAACAAGTGTCGTATTCTATAAACGCAATGCATGTTTCCGTTTTTAGTCGCATGCATCCTTGTGTAGTGTCGTAGTTTGCACACACAGGGTAACGTATTATAGTACGTGTTACTACCTGCACGATGACTCGAAGGCTACTGTCATGCGGCGACGGAATCACAAACGCATATGACAGCGACTGGCTATGTGTGACAGCATTGCCACTCCAGCCATTTAGAATAGCAATCTGTCCAGCACACGGGTACATATACATCAGTGATTGTATTTTTATGTTGTCCACATTATATTAGCACTCTGTTCATCTCATAGTTGCGGACGCGTGGTATAAGTCCTATTTATGGATACATATAAATCCTATTTATGGGTAAATATAAGTCCTAATCATGGATAAATATGAATCCTATTGATGGATACATATAAATGCTATTTATGGATACCTATAAATGCTATTTATGGATACTTCCAAATTCTATTTATGAATACCTATAAATCCTATTTATGGATACATATAAATCCTGTCTATGGATACTTCTAAATCCTATTTATGGATACCTATGAATCCTATTCTGGGTACATATAAATCCTATTTATGGATACCTATGGATCCTATTTATGGATACATAGAAATTCCATTTATGGATACCTATAAATCCTATTCATGGATACCTATTAATCCTATTTATGGATACATATAAATCCTATTTATGGATACATATAAATCCTATTCATGGATACCTATAAATCCTATATATGGATACATATGAATCATATTTATGGATACACATAATCCTATTTATAGATTAATATAAATCATATTTATGGATACATATATTCCTAATTATAGATTAATATAAATTGTATTTATGGATACATATATTCCTATTTATAGATTAATATAAATTGTATTTATGGATACATATAATCCTATTTATAGATTAATATAAATTGTATTTATACATTTGCCAACCTGAAAATCATCTCATAACATCGCACGTGCATTCTGGTGGGGTCGCATTTTGCCATGTGTACACCTTCAGCCTAGGGTTTTACGGTTTTAAAGCATTCAAAATGAACACATTACAGGTCTATAGAAGTCGAACGTGTGCAAGTGAATAGAATAGAGTACGTGAGTCTTGTTATCTCGCACACAAGGAGTGCGTTACACATCACCTGTGAGGTGTATATGAGCTCATACCCGTTCATGTCATTGTTCATGTCCTCACCTGTGAGGTGTATATGAGCTCATACCCGTTCATGTCATTGCACATGTCCGCATGTTGCGCCTATACAGTCGGAGACACAAAAAGTGATGTGCACTGTGTCAGTCAAGAGTCGCCAGTTACGCGTGAACCCAGTTGGAATCAATCAGCCATGCCCCTGGTATGTACGGAAGGTGTAAG